AACGCAAATATCTTGCTGTCTGGCTGCACACCAGCGTAACAGGTACACAGAACTTGAGAAGTACTTACTGAGTGACGAGCATGCTGTAGTAAAGTACTGCAGTTGTAGATTATATTGGCTTGCTCCGTTGGCTAATATGTGCACGGCAAAACCGTGTAGCACCACTAATTCTGCCTGCACCAACTCAAAATGAACGTGGAACACGATTACTGACAACACCATAACACGTAAGGAAGCAGGAGAGTAGAGCACGGTGCCTTCGCCGTTGGCAGAGAGCCCTAAAGCGATATCAAGGCGCCGATGACGAGGAGTTGCTGCTGGACTGGACTGTAACGCTGTGAGACCTGGCTTGAGCCAACCGCTACAGCCCTACCCCTACTTCATTTTAAGACATAGCCTAGGTCAGATTGCACTACTCCTTTAAAATCACAAGTCCGATGAAGAGAGCTAAAACTGAACGCAAAATGACAGCAAGACACAATACACCGTTATATTTCCTAGCGAATAGCAACGACTCGCACCAGTAATGCTCTACAGTGCTGGCCAAAAGGATAGCACATACCATGCTTTCCCGCGTAACTTTTCAATTTTTTCGAGTTTCGTGCTCATACTTTGATCAATCAACGTGCTTATTGTAGCGATTTGGCCAATCAATCAAGAGTGAAATCTGAGTCAAATTGAGAGAGTTTCTATACAAAGCATTGAGAAACGGCCTGGTCAAAAGCGAGGGCCGATTGACGCGTATGCTGCCCAAGGTGTCAATGCTAACCGGATTGCTGCTACTTTAGGTCGTTCTAGAAAGCCTATCGTTAACGACTTGCGCGATCCTACCGCGTACGGAAAGCGTTTTGGTCCTGGCCGCCCGCGTAAGATGACACCACGAGACTGCCGCCGTACTGTTCGAGCAACTCGTCAAAATACGTTGAGCTCGGCGGGGCTTAAGGAACAACTCGAGTTGACTATATCCACCCGGTCCATCCGCCGCTTCTTGAATTCTACCGAGATCTTCAAGTACGTTACCATGAACAAGGCCCCGAAGCTGACTGAATCTCATCGCAAGGCTCGAGTCGAATGGACCGAAAACCACCACGACTGGGGCGAGACAAATTGGCGTTCTACCATTTTTTTCAGACGAGAAAAAAATGGAATTTAGATGACCCCGATGACCTTAAGAGCTATTGGCGGTGTCTAGAGGATGAAGCGAAGGTGCGGTTCAGCCGCCAAAATGGTGGAGGTTCTGTCATGGTCTGGGGTGGCTTTTGGGCCGACGGCACGACGGCCCTAGCATTTTTGGACGGTAACCAGGACTCACAGGCTTACATCTATACGCTCTCGGAGCACCTGCTACCCGCAGCACACCGTCGCTTTGGTACGGACTAAACGTTCCAGCATGATAATGCTAGTATTCATTCGTCGAAGGTGACCAAGGCCTTCCTGGACGAGCATTTGGAGAAGGTGATGAAATGGCCGGCTCTGTCCCCCGATCTCAATCCTATTGAGTACATCTGGGGATACATGGCGTGCAAGGTTTACGGAGGAGGTCGGCAGTACCTGACCAAGGCAGACCTAATTACGGAGATTAAGAAGCAGTGGGATAACCTACCTGACAGCTACCTTGAGAAGCTGGTTTTGTCCATGAAGAAGCGATGCATTGAACTGCTGAAGGCTGATGGAAAGACTATCAAATACTGACGTATGTGGTACACATAAACTTTTCAATACTAAAAGCAAGTCTAAAAAGTGAGCTATCCTTTTGACCAGGCCGTTTCTCAATGCTTTGTATAGAAACTCTCTCAATTTGACTCAGATTTCACTCTTGATTGATTGGCCGAATCGCTACAATAAGCACGTTGATTGATCAAAGTATGAGCACGAAACTCGAAAAAATTGAAAAGTTACGCGGGAAAACATGGTAAGTGCTATCCTTTTGGCCAGCACTGTAGCTGCTTCGTACATGTATATTATATTATCGGGTTTTGCTAGAAAACACTCGGACGGGAAAAAAAACAGAGCGACGATTTTAGGAGGAAAAAAAAAGCAGGATAGTATGACGGTGAATACTCTTCATATTGAAGAGGAGTGCGCGTTGCCAGTAGAGGAGATAACGCACCACTGGAATACTTCGAATTCCCTCGTAAGCTTCCCTAAAGAATCTTGAAGAAAAAAAATCGGCAATGATCTTGACTCAAGAGTTTTTTTTCGACTTGTGGTATTAAGAGTATCGACAGTGTGTTCACGAAGCGTGTAACTTATCCTCGGCGTTATTGGACCAATTGAGGACTCTTTCAATAGCTTCCTCACAAGTTATCGATGAAAAGGTTTGGCAACAACAGTGTTGATGGCGTTTTGAAGCTCGCCCAGAAAGGGTCATTAGATTTGTAGACGAATCTCCAAAATTGCATTCGCGGCACGTGATTGCAGGAGGGGCAAGTTCACCATGAGTTCAACTCACAGATTGCCATGAAAAGCGCTCTGAGTCAAAACGCGTGCCTATTGTAGCTTGTTATACGTGTCTTGACGCAGAACAGTTTTTCACTGCCAATCAGTGGCGTGGATGACGACTTGTAAGATGCGAAGTTTTTACCACACATTGTTGAAAATCCTGATCCCTTGCCGATGGCGGCTCCTATGCACGGTACTTTACCGCTTCACAGCCCACTGCGACCAGCAATCGATTCGTCCAGCTCGCACAGCTTGAACTGGTATCGACACTTGACCTTGAATCCCAAGATGGAAATGTCCGCACCGAGGAGAACCGAGTCTTCGTCGACCTTCGGAAAGGCTATCCATCCGTTTGAGGTTCAAGCGACTCGCGTGAAGCGAGTTGTGGTGCAAACCAGAAGGTACTCCTTCACTGATATAAAATCATGCCATGTGGAGTTTTTCGCATCGGGGTACCGAATCACCTTTCGCTTTGGT